CGAGTCCGGGCTTACGGCACTTTTTCGCCCGAGTTCACCACGGAGAGTGGTGTTCGTCAGGGTTGCCCTCTTTCTCCTTTTCCATTTAACTTGGTCATAGATCCGGCGCTCGAATAATCGTGGTTAATGGCTGTTCAAACTGAAACTGAATAGTACCGTGGTTTGTTTGGCACACAGTCTGGTGTCTCAGATGTGTATGAAGATAAAAAAAGATAACAGAAAACCTGATTCAACGTCTCTCATTACCTTTTTATGTACAAATATAGATGTAACAAATGCGATCATGTCCCCAGAACGGGGTCAGCTAAATTTCGTTGCCCCGATTCCATGAACTCCATCCACTGGTCTGACTCGATTCCTTCCAACGGGGATCCCAAGCGGTTAGATTTGAACGAATCAACCAGATTGCGCAATCGCTTCCATTCCACTGCCTTATCCCCGGGCGCGTCCAGAAGACTGGCCACATGAACTGTGGGAGACTGAGCGCAGTAGGTGGGGGAACCGAAGTCAATGTGCAAACGAACCGGTTGATCGGCGAGCTGAGGCATAACGGAAACGCGACTTCCCGGTTGCATACGGGGATAGGTCACCGTGGAGTCTGAGTGTGAGGTTGATTCGAACAGATCCATTGGACGCTCTGTTCCCGATGCGGAATTCGCAAACTGTATTATCCGATTTCCGGTTTCTTTAAGCTGCAGACCACGGAGGCTGACTTCACGCCATGGAGATAAATCGCCACTTTCAATCTGACCTGTCCGGTACGGACTGAGTGTTCGCCATTGGAGGAAGTTGTCCGAGGCGATGCTAGTGGCAAACCCAATCCTGGCGGTAAGCATCTAGGGGTAATTGGCGAAATATCATAAAATTGAGGCTAACGGGGATAATGGCGAAAGTGAGCAGTTGCATAAATTGGTTAAACAGCAATATGGAACTGGTTTATCAAGTGTACCGTATACCGACTACACATGAATGAGGCCTGATGTATACACATATGCATATGACATAAATATCTCAGTTGCAACACCGGGCCAATATGATTGGGTTGGCGATTAGGAGCATCCAACCCACTTACAGAATATCGAATTAAAGTGATGGTTTATAAATGGTAGAAAAAGTCCCATAGACAATGTACAAAACGGTATTCGCGAAGAAATTTCTTTTCGATATATCATATCAAGCGTTTACATATATAAGGTGATCCCAATACAGATGCCTGATTGGCCGATTAGAGCTCAGTTAGTAACGATGACAGAGGCGAGCAAACAGATCAAAAGAATATGACAAGGCTAATTAGATAGTCGTGGGTGGGGTAAGAACACAAAGGTCAAATAGACAAACGTTCGAGAGATGAGCAAATTAAATGAAGGTTGTGAGCTAAGATGAGAGAGCGGGTTGAAGTTACGTAAAATACGGTAGAAACTATAGGTCATGCATAGCAAGTGATCTGATCAGGAAGGGACATTAGAGACAAAAACAAGATAATTAGTTCTTAAGATTGAGATTGGTGATACTATAGACGAGGAAAGCGGGTTGGGGAGGGGGGTGTTGATGCTCTGTTTTATGCACAATCAATCCGCTGTCCAGGCCAGGGCAACAACAGTGTCTGGACCAGCTTTNCCAGCTTTTTTTGCTTACATAATTCTGGATTGAAAATTCGGATTGCAATCGCCTCGGCCATGGTTAAAAGCCGCCTTCTTATCCCTTTGGAATATCTCCAGGGTATAGTGTGAATAATTTTGAATGTATCCAATTTGTTCACAGAACGCCCACTATCGACGAGATGACCGAGAACCGAGCTGCGAATGGATATAACCGTTCCTTTGTAGAGGGCCGCGGGACAGTGCTCAGTAATACGTCTTGATAATCGCCTGGTCGTATGTTCAATGTATCGTACACTACAAGTGCACGTGAAAAGATATAGAACGAAAGATTTGGACTGAAGNGGCAACTTATCTTTAATTTGCTGGGACACCAAGGGCCGAGTGGTAGTGAGGATATGCGGTTGAGCTGCAGGGTACATTCTAGAGATCGCTTTTGATAAACGTCCTTTGAGAAGTTCCTGGGCATCGTTGTCCCTAAACGGCACAGTAAGGAAAACCTTCTTGTGAGGAATGGTGGGGATTTTGCTCGGGTTGGTCTTCAAACCTATATGTTTACGAATAAAAGCTTCCGGGTAACCATTTGACCGAAGTACGTCATGAACAAAACGTATCTCGGACTGCAGTGTATCCTCGCTGCAAATCACATGCGCTCGGTATGATAAACATCTGACCAGGTTGCGTTCATATTTCAGGGGGACAAAGCTACAAAAATGCGTGTACTGTCCAACCCACGTTGTTTTGCGGGAGCTTCTTTGGATGGTACCGTTTTCCCGCTTTGTTAATAACACATCTAAGGGTAGATGTCCACTCTTCTCTAGTTCGCAGGTGAAACCAACAGCCGGATGACACTTGTTGAATTCGTCGAGAAGCTGTGTGTGGTTGGTGTGAGAATCACAAACGATAAAAGTATCGTCGAGGTATCTGCAATAAATGTCGGAATGTGGAACTGTTTCTCTCAAAGATAGAGACAAATTTTGTCTAGTCATTCATATCAGCTTTTCAGTCAGTACGACTGTTGGGACGAAGATCATGGCTATTCGTCCTAAGATAGGCCCAGCTGCACATTTGCTAATTCTGTGAAAAAAATCGAACAACTTTACAACACATTCGACCCTAGTAAGGGTCATCTCGGATCAATACTAATCTCACGGAAACTAATCAATAATATTGCAATATTCACTCAGTCCGTCCGTCTGATCTGTGGTCTATGACCGGTTGAACTTCGCTAACTGTCTAATTGATTAGTAAAATCCCTTTCTTCCATTGATCGATGTTATTTTTGAGCCACATAAGCATCAGAATAAAACTCGTAAATTGGCTTGTGACTTGTGTGCAAGGCCATTAAAAATGATGCTGCTGAAGCTGTCTTCTCTCTCGTGTTTTGGGAGGCCTAAGAGAACGATAAAAGATCCTGTGTCCTGTGTTTCGCCTAGGTAGCTTCCGCTCCTAGAACTATCATTCGTTCACAGACTTGTTGCTGGTCCACTGTTCTCGTGTGCTATTAGTGTTACCGCGATATATCTTATGTTCTTTGCATTTGTGGTGTTCACCTGTGATATGGTGCTGTGCGAACGAATAGTAGGCAACGGATTTAAGCGGCGTAAGATAACATTACCAATGGAAATTTCGGTAATATTTCAAAACGATTTCAGTTGTGGTCAGTTACAATTCCACAAGGCGGTGTCTGAACGAGTATAGTTTTTTCTTATGAATAACGGTCAGGGTATGGGTAAATAGACGTACATAGAACAAAATATCTCATTTAGAACCAGTCTTCAGAATTTCCACACGCACACAGGATAGGTAATGGAACGATCCGACAGTAGATAAGCATTCTTCTAGCTACCATACTGAACACAGCAATTCGTTTCAACAGGTTTTGTTCATTTCTGATCGTTGAAAAAATCCGCCAATCGCCCTCTCTGCGAACTGCTCACAAATGTGAGTAGCATGTCACAACATGCAACCGTTCGAAATTTGAAGAGGTTCACTGTTTTATACCCTCGGGGTACCGAACGCCACGAAGTGGGAAGTTTTAAGTAGAAGAAAGTAGTCCAGTGATGTCAACATGCAAAAAAGCATTTTAAAATATACCAAGACAGCATTCCGGGATGATGATGATAAATCAACTTACTCGTCTTAAACCACCCGCTTGACTACGAGCAATCCAATCGTTAGGAGACAAGCCCCCACTGGTAGGGGCTAATCGAATTGCTGTGGTCATGCAACTAATCCCGGCAGCCAATAAACTTGGTCCAAAGCAACAGTTTTGAGCAGGGACGGTACTCAAATCCAACGGAATCCACGTTGCATGGGTCATACCTTCATCAGTCGATTCCATTCGAGTGGCCAAGATCAACTGATGCGCACGCAAAGTTCGCAACAATCTGGCATCTCGATTAAGGGCACGGTTAGAATCGTATAGGGCTAGA